GCACAACAATGAGTCGCAGTGAGCTTTCTCTGTGTCGTGCGCATTAGCGAAGGCGCCATTCACCATGGCACATTGCACATACATGGCAATATTGGTGTTGTCAAGCCACAACATTGAGGGAAAACTTTTGAAGTGCCTCGAGCCTCCATCTAATGTCTACAGGGTTAACCTGGGTGTTCACGAAAAAACTTAAATAGTTAACTAGCTATTGGCACTGTTTCCATTTTCAAATTATATCATATCAAAAAGTTAGACACCTGAATTCAAAATAACTCCTTTTCACACTTAAAACCTCCAAGGTGTCCAAATTCCAACCGAAGGGCCAATAACTAAAACAACTACCTAGATCAAGCTTAATAGACTTATGACGACTTGTATAAAACACTACAACAGACATATCCAATACAATTCTTATTTTCAATCCTCAATCCCATATTCATCAAAAAGTAAGAGGGTAAACAATATTAGAACACAACATAATCATCCATATTTATCAAAATGTTCATTAATATATTTGCACAGGTATTTAAACCCTAATCAAGCATTCACAGATCCTACAACAAAGCCTAGAGTATTAAATACAACCAATCAAACACATATCACATGCAACGGTGTAAGTAAATAAAAGAATTATTCTAGTTGACAATATCATTATCAGATTACACATATAAATATCAAAATGAGAGGCATAAAGTAGGAATACTAAATTTCTAAGACTCTAGTGCCTTCCCTTAGTATGCTCGACGCTACTATTTAAAAAAAATGTTAAGATAGGAGTAAGTATAACTATTCAACAATTAATGAAATTTTAAATCATGCATATACATGTCAAATCAATTAAGGCATGCAAAGTTTGAAATTAAAATCAATAAAGTTCTTAATGCAATATTACATCTCATAATATTAGTAAATGCATAATCAATACTCCTTATGACCTCCATATCTATCAATTGAATCTATGTGAAGTCAATTCAACAGGGCTAAGTTCGTGTGAATGAATTAGCCAAACTTACCAATTGTGAAAAGTTACTTGGCCAAAGGTGCTATGCTTACTTTCTAATCACAAATTTTCCCAATTCTCAAATTGAATAGAGGTGTTGCAATGCTCTATCTCACACCCGGTTAGGGTGATATTAAGGGCAAAAGGTTTGGGTAACTTATGCTTACACTCATTTATAGGCTATATTTAAAAAACCCAACCCTAAACTAAATACTGAGGCCTCTCATGGTGTTGGTTATCTCCACATGGATAATATACTACTAACTCCTAAAGTGAACTCCCTCCCAAATATGTGATCATGCCAACATATATTAATGCAACATCAATGCATTATTCCACACATGCTAAAATCTCAAGCCAAAACATAATTTCTCACGTCACATATTTATTGTAATAAATAAATACTACTCAAATAACAATTAGGTTGCACTTGCGTCATTGTCCAAAACATATAAATATCAATATAATCTATAAAAACATATATTCAATTTACAATAACCATTGATCAATTTAAATAAGTATTTGTAGAAGGCACATACAAATGGCTTTTCGAGCCAAAATTAAGTTCACATAACATGCTGTATGGTTCATATACAATCCATAACAACAATTATCACTAAAAATAATCAAATATACCACTTCCAACTCCTTCTCTTTTCTTTATAATTTTTTACATTTTTTGCTACTTAAAATGTGTTTCTGATGTGTTGACCATGAATGGTTGTGTATGTTATAATCATGTTTAGCCATGGTTGAAGCCACTAATTAAGATTTGCTTCCTCTGTTCACAACTGTGGACGGTAATCTCCAATGAAGAATTCAATTGTGAATAGTTGTGAATAGAGAGCACACTTTCAAGGATGCTCGTTCGTACACAGTGGTCACTTATTAGTTACAATCGCAAGTGGTCATGGATAAAGACCCCAAATTCTCCTCTAAATTTACTCTTAAGCCTCAAATTTTGTTCCACATTACTCCTAACTCATTCCTCCTTTGTTTATTACTCCTAATTATCTTTAGTTAATCTAATTTAATCTAGTAACTGAAATTATAAATGTTACAACTAACTTCTTTCACTACACCCATCCCCTACTTTGAGGGTTAATTTATTCTTATTTAATTACATATATCTAACATCCTAAGTTTCTCAATTAATAATTATTAGTGTTTCTAAGGGTAAATTAATCAATTTAGATAAATTATTAATTAATAAGGTTTATGGGAGACTAATATAATTTTTGGATCCTTGGATAGCCTTAGAAGAGGATTAGGTTGATGTTTAAGCGAGCCATGGTACGGAAGGAAGTTTAAATTTTGGTGTGGTTTTTTGTGCCATATATCGTGGGGAGCATGTGAATGTGCCACAGTACACGTGTAAAATCAGGCATTTATCAGACACGAAAACAGACTCAAAATCGGAAGGAAAAAAGAAGAAAAATGAGAGAGCAGTAGAGAGAAGCTCATGGTTTGCTAGGGCACAATTCCTAGGTTACATTAAGAGCATTTAGAGCTTGAATCATTATTGGGTAAGTTTCACATTCCCTCTCTTTCCCCATTTATGCAAATTTTCTAACTTAAGTGGTAGTGTGGGCTTTGATTTCGGTTTCTTTGGGTTTGGATGAACCCAATTAGTTCATTTAAGGTCTTGGAGAGTTAAATCAAGCCTCTAATCCTAAGTTTATGAGTTTTATGATGATTTGAGATTTTTGGTTAGGGTTTAGACGAACCTTAGGTATAATTTAAATATTTTGAGACAATGTAGGGTATTGGTTAGTGATTTTGGTGTAGTGGGATGTTTAATAGAATGGTTAGAGTGTTTGGAAATGGTTGATATTGTTAGAAAAGAAATTTAAGTGTTATAGGCACTTAGAACCTAGACAATTTGAGGTTTATCTGGAGTGATAATTAACGATTGTCACTTGATTGTGTAGATTGAGTGTTGCTCGAGCTACATCATGCATATAGAATGTGAAAAGCTAACATTGAGCCATGGTAACCCTTTTGCATAACAAAGGGTTGAGATAACGGAATAATTTATACTAATTGATTATACTACTTAACTATTTGTGAGTAGATATGTTGATTTGAACTTGAGATTTGATAACTTTGCATATTGTGAAATGTGATTTTGCACATGAAAAATCTATTTACAAACAATGAGAACGATGAAAGTTATATATGAATGGGTTGAAAAATTTGAAGTGTATATGTATTATATATATACGATGTGTGTGAGCATGATCATGTTTAGGGGTGGGAGTTCATTCGTAGGAAGGAGTAGTGAAAGTCCATATGGCATGTATCTCTTTAGTGTCTAGTGAGGTATGGTGTTGCAGATTTTCTCCTTAGTATTCATGCAGGATACGGTGTTGGAGAGTGATGCTCCTTAGCATCAATGATGCGGTGTTTGAGTAACGACACCCCAATTTGTGTGCGATAGGGGGAGACTATAGTCCGAAAGTAGGATAGGACACTTTTGGTTGAGTGATCCTACTACCAAAGATGAGCTCGAACCATTGTGGATGTGCACTTAGTTTAAGAGTCTATGGTTTTAATTGAGGTGATATGGAGGCTCGGATGGTAGAATGATTATGCTAGTGGTAAATGATTTGCATTGATGAAAAAGAGTATGTTATAATATGAAAAAGTAAATTTTGGTGTTTTAGCAGCTTTACTCCCTTATGGTTGTGCATGTTAATTAATAGTAGTGAATTATTCTATTACTGAGATGTTTATCTCACCTCGTGGTTATATTTTACAAGTGAGGGCTCCGATAGGGGCAAAGGGAAGGAAGGGATGTTTGAAGAGTGAAGAGCGTAGTCGTATAGCTCTTTCCCTTTCTCTTTTGGGTTTGTAACGAATATTGTCAATATATAATGTCAACTTAGGAACATGACATTATTTTGAGATATCACTTGTATGAATTTGTGATAAGTGTGCGTATCTTAGTCCAAGGTTGATGTTGTGTGTGCTTGGCCAAGTTACAATTACAAGTGATATAATTGAAGTGATTTATGTGTTAAAATGACCAAGTTGATATGTGTGTTAGATTTTATTCACCTCTTTATATTGTTATGAATTGGGGTTTTAGTAGTCATTTTGAGTGTGAATGATTAATTGTGTGTTATGATTAAATTGTCATGTTGTATGTGGCTCATTTGAGGTGGTCAAAGTGTTTCCGGAGCTAATAGCATTTGGCATTGTGAGTTGGACACATTTGTGTGTGTTTTTGAGATAAAAACGAATCATTTTGAATTTGAGTGTCATATCATTTAAATAGATAATTGAGTGTGACACCATTGGCTAGAGAGCTCAAAGAGCTTTGTGTGGACTCTTGAACCGTCCAAATCAAACATCAAATGGCGAAACAGTGTGCTCTAAAAATTTGAAAAGCTGTCATGACAGCAATCTGCTGTCATAATAATAGGTGCGCGCCGGGGCGTAGGCGCAAGTGGCCTTCGAGGGACGCATTCTTTTGTACCATCCGCTGTGATAAATGGGTCAGATTTTTAAAAAATGGCTTGTTTCAGCTTGTTTTGAAGTGATTTGATTTTTATGCTTTTGTATTTGTTCTTAATTATTTTTTAATCATGATTTGAGCTCGAACAGTATTTCAAAACAACTTTTTTAAGATTACATTATTTTAACTTATTATCTTTTAAAACTCTTAGGTTGTTATAACCTTTGCTTGGGATTTTTATTTAATTCTGATTATCACAATAGAGTGTAACTGTGTTGTTCTGGTAATGTCAAAGCAGACATTACAATATACATACCAAATTATCAATACGCTTTATACATTAAATTAATTTGATAGTTAATTTAGGTTTTAAAATTTAAAGTACTTACATGATAATAATAATTTAAGAAAAGATAAGAGACCAATTGATAAAAAAATTAAACTTGAGACATCAAATCAATAATTTTGGCAAAATTGAGTAACTAAAGTTTTATTATCTCTTCATTTTTTATTATTTTTTTAAAAGAAGAGCAAAAATTGAGGTTTCTTCTCATTCGACTGTGAATGCGATGAACTGAACCCTGGTTTCAGACCCAGCTCTGCTCTTTGAATTTGGCGCAGAAATATTATTTGGACCCATTCTGCTATTGATTTGAAAGTTTGTTCTCCATCATCATAAACCTGAAAGAAAGCAGCTGACGAATCAAAGCGCCTTTCTTTCTCGACTCTCTCTTGATTGAGCGTCCTGATGAAGTCCCGTAGCTAAGAAGTAACTCTCCTCAATTTTAAGATTCATTGTTTGCTTTTAAATTTCTTTGTTTTGCTTTTACTTTCGGTTTTGGATTGTATTTTTTATGCGGTAATTGGTCCATAAGTCATATTAATTCTGCATTTTGGTAGTGTTGGATTGTGGAATTAGACCTGTGGCTATTCGTAATGCCTGCTGGATTAGTGTTTATGGTCTACTGGATGTATACTTCATTTAGCTAACAACAACCTTAGCTTAGAGCAAAGTAATCCAATTTAGTTTCGGGTTGCATATCGATAAATTTCTGGGTTTGTGCTCGTCATAGTCCAGAATGCTCTCCGATGGAGAAATTTCTTTAAGTAGTGCAATATATCCTATGCATGTGTGAATTTGGGCCAGAGTTAAAGAGATATTTATTGGTTTGTGCTCGTCATAGTCCAGAAAGCAAAGTTTCTATTGATAAGCACATTGCTGAACATTTTCATTTAATAATGTATTTTTGTTGCATGGTTAGTGGATTTGGATGCTGAAGTAGAAACTGTTCAGAGTTCTGCGGAGAAAACATCAGCAACATGTGAAGATAGATCAATTTCAGAACCTTGTGTTGGCATGGAGTTTGATTCTGAAGAGGCTGCCAGGGAATTTTACAGTGGATATGCAAGACATGAAGGGTTTGTCGTCCGTCTTGACCGTTGCCATCGTTCTGAGGCTGATAATAGAATCCTTTCTCGTCGTTTTTCATGCAATAAGCAAGGTTTTTATGTGAGACCAAGAAATGGGACAAGACCTGTTCGGAGACCACGAGTTAGTATAAGAGAAGGCTGTGAGGCTATGATGTTAGTTAAAGTAAACAATCATGGGAAATGGGTTGTTACCAAATTTGTGAAGGAACACTGTCATCCTCTACAAGTTTCTGCCTATTCTTCTGATAGAACCTTGGTGAGTTATACATTTACTAACATCAAATAATCAGTTCTCATATTCTCTATCCATCATGGTACTCACAACTATCTTTAAATTGAATACAGTTGAGTTTCATTCTGTTTCGACATCTTATCAATTATAAATCATAACCAAAAGTGTAAAGCCATGTATTCTTGTTGACGTGTCCTTAAGGTAGTAGTATGATAGTTTCTAATCTTGAACATCTATAAATTCTGTTGTAGTTACAATTGAGTTATAAACTGTTCAATATCTGCATTGAAGAAAATTCTGATGCTTATAGTTTTCAATAGTATTTGACTGCGTCTGAAATGCCTGAAATTTTTAATTCTCTTCTGTCCAAAATTGAGGGAAAGATTCATCATGTCTATCATCAAGAAGATAATGTTCAAACTAATTATAAGTTTTTACAAGACAATATATAACTTATTCATATTTCATTTATGCCTGCTATTTCTCCTCATGTTGTTTAGGCATTACAGACTTATTACTTGTTCTGGGAACGTAAACATTATACGAAACTTGTAATTTCTTCTTTTCAACTTTCAGGCAGTGCCAAGATAAATGTTCTATTCTACAAGAACAATACAAATGTAATATGTATTTTTGGATGCTTCACTTGGTTTCTTTTCCCATAATTGATTTTGGGTATTGGATTATGGAAGCTGTTATACTCTAATTTTCTTTTTCCAATTTGTTAGTTGTTTAAGACCATAACCTAAAAGTCATGTGGAAAAACAATTTTTTGATGTAGCTCATCCCACTATTAATGCGAACACCCTTTTATCTGGTTGTGGCCTGAGGAGGATGGCAAGATGAAAGAAGAAGAAATCTTTCTTCTTTGCTGGTCATAAAGCTTTTTATGACAATTCTCATCTTTCACGATGATTATGCAAGCTTCAACTTTGACTTGGTACGATCCTAAGCCACCGTCATCATTTTGCGCTTAACACTGTCCAGAAGTCTTAGAGGTTAAAATTAAATTAAATAAAGGATTTTATTGAAATTCACATTCATTTCATAGCAATCGTTATAAGAAGAGAGCAAATTAGGAATGTAATAGACTGTGGTTGATCAGCTGTGAATGCTCTGACATCTTCTTTACAGCATCCTGTCTAATATTGCTGGAATATGAGATTTTGATCCTCTCCATTGAGAGAGTCCTCCATTGAGCCTCAAGTGAGGCAAAAGGAAATTTGACAATTCATATTTTGATATAGATAGTCTAGATTTCATGTAATAAAAATGATAGTCTAGATTTCATGGCTCTTATTTTATATTTCTAATCTAAATTTCTCGAGTTCTCAGCTGGAAAACTGTTTTGGTTTTGCATTCTACTTCTTCAAAACCAAAAATAAAATAAAATAAAATAAAATAAAATAAAAAAGTAATGCGTATTGAAGTTCTGACTGTTTAGATCAAATATCAACCATTCATATTGTCTTTTTGCATATCTTGACGCTCAATGCAAGATTCTTTCAGTGGAGACTATTTAAATACTTCCTTCCCTTCCTAAGATGGAATCAATAGGAATGGATTATTATTATTATTTTGGTTACAATAAGAATGAATATTTGTTTTAGAAGCTCAGGAGCAGGACAAAGTTATAGTAAAATTGGAATACCATGTATAATTACTCAAGACTTCTGACAGTCAACTTTTTTGTGTTTTTGCCTTAGTCTACACCTTCCCCAAGTGGCCATGTTGCTGGAGAATTCTAGCACACCACAAAATATTAGTAACCCCAACAACCTAAGAAATTTATGGTTTTTGATCTTTTTTTTTTTTAAATAATGATTGATAGCTATGTGAAAGTTTAACAAAAACTTTTGTTTGCGAACCTTCCAGGAATCAAAGGATATGAAGATTCAACTACTCACAAGGGAGCTTCAGCGTCATGATAGGCTATGTCAACTATACCGCCAGCTGTTACTTTCCCTACTGGAATCTGTGGAGGAGCAAACTGAAGTTTTATCAGGAAAACTCGAACTTGTCGTTAGCAGTGTAAAACAGCTTCAGAATGATGTTGAAAAACCTTTGGACACTCACTAGAAAATTCTCTCTCCATTGTTTAACATGTACTTTATGTAAAAGGTTTGGGAATTACAGGGGAGCTTGGGAAGCTGTGCTACATCATTCCTTTGCAAGCCCAATAAAATGTGTAGAGTGACTGACTAATTTGTCACGAAGTGAAAAGTAGCACTGAATCAGTTGTAAATCAGATGTCTTTTTTTGGGCGATATTATTCTCATCTGTGTTAATACAACATAGTCCAATTGTTTCAATACTGGAGAAGAATGCTAAATATTTGTTGTTGAAGATTGTTGGATTATAGATCCCAAAATATTGTATTGCTTTATTTATTTCAACCTGTTGGTGTCTATTTTATTTCCTTTTTGTTGCTTCTCTGTGGGATTAATATTCCCAAAGCTTGATTCTTTATAGCATATGGCTATTAAAATTGTCAAAAGGAGTTTGCCGAACCTCATAGGGGTGTGTGTGGATCATTTGAAGTGAACTTCAAATGAGGATTATACAAGAGAAATGTAATCTGATTGTATGAATCTACAAGTAGTGAAGTAGTCTAATTTTTTCCCTCTCTCTCCCTATATATGAGTCGTTTTAATACTTACATATTTCTACTACTACTTTTTCAAGAAGGATTTGGTTAAAAGTAAATCAAGCTTACAAACTGCCATATCGTATAACAAATACAACCTTTTACCAAGGAGGTTAAATTTTTTTAATAAACTTGTCAAACTAGTAAATATTTATGATTTTGTTTCTTATATTTCATGTTGTTGAAAGAATAAATAATGAGGTACCCTTAAAAGGGGGGGGGGAACTCATTCCATCTTACATGAAATAAGATCATGACTAAAATATTTTTTAACTTTGAGAGTAAAGGAGTCAGATCTAATTTAGGTTAAAATGCATTTTTTTCTCTTAAAGTATGTTCAAAAGAGTTATGAGCAGCTTAAAAAAAAATTATGGAGTAACATACCACATAATATTTCAAAACTGATATAATGTTACCCCATTTTAATTTTTTATCATTAAGTCAACCATTGTTGCAGGCAAGGGATTTGTTTTTGGGATAATTACCTCTAGGTCCCATACAAGGAAACTAATTACTATAAGGTCTATTAACAATTGAACTAAGGCAATTGACATCTGATTGTGTGATCAATTGCCTTAGTTTAGTTGTCAATAAATCTTTCAGTAATTAATTTTTGTGTAAAACTTCAATATAATTCTTCCTTTATTTTTTTTTAGTCTCAAGTTGACTTAATGTTGATGGTTGAAAATGAACAGCATTGCATTACTGTAAAATGTTGTGTTATGTTGTTATGCAAGAAAAAATGCAATAGCAAGTCCCTATATTTTGATTACATTTTGCTTTAAGTTTTTATAGTTTTATTTTGTTATTGCATGTCCTTTTAATTTGATTTGTCCACAATGTTAAATCTTATAGTTTTAAAAATGCATATAAAGATTATAAGTTACAAATTAACATCAACAGAATTAATTTTGCTACCGTGTACTTTTAATCCCTTTGTTGACGTATGCGTATTCTCACATTTGTTTCCCACATTCTTTTTTAATAAAGCCAAATATAAAGGAAAACTTTTCATCCTTATCTTTTATTTTTAATCATACCTGATCAATTTATTTTTATGTCAGAATATTTTTACCATTTCAGCAACAAAAATAAGTGATAATAACAACAAAACCGAAATAATAGCCAGCCTTAAGAAAATACACATTAAGCATATATTCCATTATGTAACAAAAACTACTATACAAAATAAAGTGAAGGGTTGATGAAGATTGGATGTGGAATTATACACAGAATCACGTTAACGTGGAACTCAGGTTAAACCCCAAGACTTTCTATTCATGGGATTCTTTTGCACTTCAGATTCAACTTTCCTTAAATTTTCTACAATAATTTGAATTTTTTCTGACATTTCTTGTGTTTGTTCCTCCACATTATTCATGAAACGGATCAGTTTTTCTCTATATGCTGCACATAGCTGGTCTTGGCGCTCTAATTCCTTAGTTAGTTCTTCAATTTTCTTGTCTTTATCACCCTGCAAGAAGAAAAATACTTGTTCATCCAAAGAAAAGGCCACCAAAAAAAAAAAAAAAGGAAAAGAAAAACATTACAATGTGGTAGAAATGATTGAACCTTGTATCTAATCTAATAATTCGCAAATAAAGCATCTAAAATGACAAGCATCCAAGCAAGATCTATCTAATCTCTTGCCTTGTTTAGTTAGAGCACGGGAAAAGGTGTTCCCTTGAAGTCCTTGTGCTTTGTGCAATAAATAGTTCTCATGGCTTATGCTATTCTCTTTTGTCAGATAAGGATGTTTCGAAATTTAGAATAATCATTTTCTGCCATCCTCTCTCCCAACTTTCCTTTTCTCATCTATTTCTCCCTCGTTCTTCCCTTTCTCCCTCTTTTTCTACCTCTTTCTTTTCCCCTCTCCCTTTTGTCTTTGGTGTTCTACATCAGTCTTAGTCCATTCAAAGCATTCCAAAACTTGATTTATATATAACTTGCAAGCTTCAAAATAAAAATGATGCATCCTTACAGCTTCAGACACTTTTGTTTGACATAAAGGTTTTATATTTGAACACAGCATTCACACTCTTTTGATGTGGCATAAACTAGGTTTCTGGAAGAGATAGCTATTGCTGTAGCACAAGTTTAACTGTTAAATCATGAATGACACCAATTTCGAAAACAAAAACCTACAATTTTTATAGAACACCAAAATCAGCAGTTCTTCTGACCAAAAAGCCCCAAATAAGTTGTTTCATTTGTTTTTGACATAAAAATAAATATTGATCAACTCGGTTGATTCTATAATGCATTTGTTGAGATTTCAGATATGAAAATGCCTCTCGTAATGATACATAACATTCATAGAACACAAGAATGTACAAATATTATATACTCATAAATTGAAACAGTTAGTGTTTTGGTCAACAGCATTTTTGCCTGCCAACAAAAACTGAATGACAAATTCTCCTTATCAGACACAGCAAAAAGAGGTCCATCAAAGAGTTGGCTTTACATGTTTTATTGATTAGCTACACCAAACAATTGAACTTGCTTCTTTTAGCGAAAATTTTGGATGCTACAACACCATGCAGAGTAGCTACTAGCGTTTTCATGAAATGATGCTTTTTATTAATATATAGGGGGCCCTCGACTTCAATCTTATACACAAAAAGAAAAAAAAAAACCGTCATACTCTCACTTTCAACTGGTATGCTACATAGTAATACCTAATCTACAGTATACAGTTACTTTAATCAATAAAAAAGCTATAATTAAGAATGTATTATTGAAACCAGAACAAAAGCTCACCGGTGTGATGAACCCATTTGCTGTAACAATTAGAGGATGGTTATGATCCTTTACAAATCTTGTAACAACCCATTTTCCAGATTTTTCCAACTTCACTAAAATTGTTGCCTTGCAACCTTCTCGTGCACTTGGCCTTGGCTTTTTGTCAGCTCCAATTGTGCCCTTACTATTTGGAGAGAAGCCTTGTTTGTTACATCCAAGTCGACGGGCAAGAGTCCTCCCATCAATCCCTGAACGGCGCCGTTGCATGATACGTACTACAAATCCCACCCGTCTAGCATATTCAACATAGTATTTCCTGGCATCTTCTTCAGAATTAAATTCCATGCCTACATATGGTTCTTGAAATTCAATGCCATGTAGCATACTTGTACTAACTTCTACATAGCCTTGTTCTCCATCATTTCTCTTGTCCAAATCCACTATCACAATAATCCACAAGAATTCCGGTTACCATCATCATACTTAAATAGTTCAATTTGTCATGATTTAAAAATTTTCAGCTTCTATTCAGCAGATAAATCACCAGTCTACCAAGTTAATCAAACTATGACTTCAGAACACATTGATGCACTAGAATGATTTCAGATAATATCTACAAAAAAAAAAAAAAGAGAGAAATATACATATATTGTCCCAATTATGCACATAGTCCCAAAACAACTTTACTTGAGCCACATAAAACAATGGCCAAATAGAAACCAGGACAGGCCTGTTAATCCCAAGAACTACGGTGTTAGAATAGAATACTCTTTCATTTATTTTAGATATAGGAATCATTTCAGCATGATTATAATGACAGCATAATCATGGGGATTGGGGTATTAATAAGCCATTATGATTGGGGCTCCTATTTTGCATATAAATTGCTCCTATTTTAAGGAGATGAATACAATCAAGCAATTGAGTCATATTTCTCCACACATGGAATCTAAAAGGCAGCAAGGTAAGTTTTTAATAGTAATTCTATTCACTGCACACACAACCGCATGATAATGCTCTCTTAAATCATGCCTTCGAAGAGAGACAGTTTCAATAACAGTTTACACATCTAAAAATCTGGTTTTCTTTCTACTGACAAGTCACAAAAGTTAGTTGTAGCAGAACAGTATTATCAACTTATCTTGACCAAGGGCCGGGCATCCCATCTGGTGGAACGAAATTGTTCATGGGTAGGCAAAGGCTGACAGTAAAGTCAGCCAGATATTCTAGCCTATCCCATATCCCTTTTACAGTCTATCCATGGTAGATGGCCTAATAATCTAGAAATTAGGACTACAACATTACAGCGAGTACATGTGATGCAGTTTACAAATCAAAACCATGCAAGAGATGAAAATGTAGATGTAGCTCCAATATTATAGCTGCTTTACTTGATCATCAGCAACTTAAGATAATGCTAGAGATCAAAACGTATACAATAAAAAGGACTAGTGCAAAAGCTTGGAATAAATTTTATCAGGAGGATTTTTTTTTTTTAAAAACTATAGTTAGTTTTTGATGGAGCACAATGACAGCCGACTTTACTTAGAGTAATAAGGCTTTCTGTCGTTGTTGATAAGATCAAACAAGAAAGAAAATTAATTTAATCATGTATGTTTACATTGAATGCAATTATACCAGACCTAATTACCAAGCTCTCCATCATGCAAATGTAATTTTCATATGAAAACAAAATGTTGTGCTGGTATCTGAAAGTTTAAAGCTTCACAAAAGTTTGATGTTGGGCAAAATGGCTTTTGAAGTTTATAGGGTTGAAAAATCCTCTTAAAGAAGGAAATTGCTGTGGTAAAAAAATATGGCAACGGAAGAAATTGTTGGATGGCTCAATGTCATTGCATCATCATGGTTCTATGATAATTTAATACCAATAGACTAGGTGTGCCATACACACAAACTTAATCATATTTCAAATAAAAAATATGAGTTTATTAGAATCGTGAGATCAAGAATCCTCATAACATTAAAAAAAAAAAGATAAAATGAAAAATGGAAAAGAGACAAAAAGAAAGTAAATTGGCTTCAAAAAGCAACCCAATCTCTATGTGTATAAACTCATAAGAAAGCTAAGAAACCAGCCTATCCCACAAAAATTATGCAGTATGTATTTGTCAGCTAAAACACCCACCCTTCCAAAACAGAGAGCAAAATTTCATTGCTCTTGTTCTCCTTTTAGCCCCAAACTTCCATAACATAGATCAGAAGACCTCCAGTTTCAGTTCAAAAAAAAAAAAAAAAAAATTGCCAAGCTACCTCACAATGCATATAGCCAAAAAGAGAAGATTATTTGTTTCAGAACTTCTATGGAAAATAACTCCCTACAGTCATACATAAAGAGTCAAAGTCCTAGTGAAAGAAGTATTGATGAGATCTTTATTTTAAGAAAAATTTCTACTGGTAGGAAAAGGATGAGCTTAGAGATATCTCTTTAATAGAGAGCAAGAGTTGAGAATTGACACTGAGATTGAAAATAAGTTTCAAGCAAATTTGCAAATAAACAATTTAAATCCAAGTTCTTTCTATCCTCTATTCTTCTTGCATTCTCCATTACTGCTCAAACTGTTGCTAATTCTCATTGTTCACAGCAGAATAATAACCTTCTACATTTTCCCTTCTTGTTTTCTATTAACAGAAGAAATTCAGAATCCACATATTCATAAATATGTATCCAAAGCCTTCACCTGCTTTTGCAGCAGTAAAAGCCAAACCGAATCATGTATATCATGTAACATGGCCCAGACACTTTTTTTTTTTTTAAACAATAAGTCCCATAAAATCTGCCGACTGCCACTGTTTCTCCTGATAAATCCCTGCCTTATCACTCATTAGTGAAAATGTTAATAGACAGTCATTATTCTCTAAATATGAATCTGAACATCAATTTTCAAAACTTTGTCCAGTGCTATTAACTTCTAATTCGCACGCAAGCAATTGAATCCAGATAATAGTTATGAAGATTCAATTTACTTATCTTATACATGAGAAGGAAGTCAAATTCAAATTTCACTTACAAAAACCTAAAAATTTAAAAGGAAATAATTCCAGTTCAGAAACACTCCCCATCAACTGTCCCATAATAGCAATAAGGAAACAAATTCAAGAAGAAATTCTCTTCACATTAAGCCGTAACAATATGAGCCTTTTTCACGGAAAAAACTAAAAACAAAGCTTCAAGAAAGTGAAGGCTTCCCGCTAAGAGGTCACGAAGGCAAACAGTACGGAAGGCTGAAAAACATGATTACGCCAGTGATCATCTGAATATTTTGGAAAAGAAAGCCGAAAGAAAAACAACTAACTAACACACCGTTACTTACTGTGAATGGAAATGGCAGATCTTTCCGCTTTGCAACGTCTATCTATAGTTTACTGCGAAGCTTCGAAAGAACTGAATTCGAAAAGAGTGAAGGTTTTTGCAGTGAAACGAAAGGGGTGGCAACGGGCAAAGGAGAAAAACGAAACCAGATGATTTCACATTCGAGTTGTCTCCAGTTTGTCTGCGGGGCACTAAAGGAAAAACCGTTAGATATATCGGACAGTATATAAACACAAATGTAACGACGTCGTTTCTTTGAGGAGATCCTGGCCCTTCAATGACCAAGAAAATCGTGACCGTTCGTACACATAAAAAACCACGGGCTAGCTCCTTTCTTCCCCCTCCGGCGCTGGAACTGGAAAGGATTGTGGTGGTAGGTGAAGGCTTTCTCGGCGGGACGGAGGAAGGTTTTCTGGATTTGAATGTGGCGGAAGAGGAAGGATCAACAATCTTTGACTACGATTAGTGGAGAAAACGAAATGTGGACGAACAGAGGCGGTTTGGCTCGATGTTAGGGTTTAAAGAGTGAGAAAATTTAGAGGAAGACCAGAGCAAGTAAGAAAGCACCAATGATCTGCTTATGTAAATTTTCTTCCCTTCTCAGATATTGTTTGGATTGGTTTCTGGTCTTTTGGAGTTTTGAAATTTACCTTTTATTTATGGTGCAAAATCAAATAAATTGAGCATTTTTGGGGTTATGTTAAATTATGTTTATGTGAACATACTGATTGTTTTGCTGGTATTAGGCAATTTTTTTTTTCGTGAATAATGCTTGATGGGTGCCCAAAAAAAAAAAAATCGAACTTTAGATTGGTGACTGATAAAAACTCATTTTTAGACATATTGATGATTGGTGATTGCTGTTTTGGATTATGCACAGGTGATTGTAAACGTTAGCTTGTTGGTTGGTGTTATTGGATAATTTTTTTCTTGTGTTGGATAATGCTGAATGATGTTTTACTTGTGATTATCTTCTTTATTAACTAAAATTTTTGCTCTGTTATTATGTTGGATAATGGTAGTGCTTAGATGACTTCATAAATTGTTGAATGAGATGTTTTCTTTTCAAGGTTAATATAAATTATTGAAATATTGAGTGAGATTTTAAAATATTGATTGAGCTTTTAAAACATTGAATGTGCGTATATCATTTTGTAGGGTAATGAAAATTTCATTCAATTACTGCAACATAAAGCAATAGTCCAGATTTTAATGCAAAAAAAGAGTAAAAATTAATGTTTGAATGTGTAATAAAATGATGCACTTGTAATCATCTTGTGTAGGCCTGATTAGATGGATACGAATTTAATCCCAAGATTGGGTCTTGAATTTGAAACTTTAGAAGAAGCGTGGCAATATTGGGTGAGTTATGGTGGCAAAACTGGATTTGGTGTTAGAAAGCAATATTTCAGCAAGAGTAGGAAGGATGGCACCATAACTTCATACAGATACGTGTGTTGCAAGGAAGGTGTACGAAGGCCAGATAAAAGAGATTATAAAACAATTCATCCTCGCCCAGAGACAAGAACAGGATGCAAAGCAAGAATGACAGTATCACGCATAAATGGAAAATATAGAATTGTTGACTTCGTTGATGAGCACAATCACCCGCTTCATTTTCCAGAAACAGTGCATTTGAAAGCATCCCAACGGAAAGAGAATGAGGTTCAAGCATACTAACTAGAAAATAATCTTAATTCATGTGCACTGTTTAATGATAGGATATTTCATTTCTCTTATTTTCTTTACTTTTTACTTCTGGAATAAGAAAAAAACAAATCTTTATATCTGATAATTAAATACAATTTGTTTGAGTAGATATCTAATTTGTACAATGTATATAATATGTACTGCATTCTGATGAATGATGACATTTAATCCACCCCATGTGTCGCACTGCTCTAGATCAGCACCTGAGTGCAAAATGCATTACAAGTAACTTGTAAATCCTGGTTTTCTTATTTTTAGCATCAGTTTTGTTAATAGCGGTTCTAAAATAGCTGAAGTCTTCTGATGATGAACCCTTAAGCCTTGAACTAATCAGTTCTACTTACTGAATGAAATGTGTGGTCATTTACTCTTTGCTGAGCTCAGCGGTTATTCCTGTCATATGATTATGAATTAGGTTAACAGAGTGAGATAATATGCACCTAGGGGTTATTATCTTCATGCTTTAGATTGTTCTGACCAATATTCAAGTTTGCTGATGTAGAGAGCATCCCGTGTTTCAGCATTGAGAAGGTGCTCAGATTTGTCTCACCAAAGCATTTATTACTTTTGGAAACCTGAGATGTTTTTACTTGATGGAGCCTGCGTCAGTGTTGGAACAAACTTTGTGTGCGTGTTTAAGTGATGTTTGCCAATCATCTGTATACTTCTTCCTGAATCTCTTAACTATACGTTGTTTAACATGAGAGGTTGAGCTTGGTCTATTTGCCTTGAAATGGCTACCTATTTGAGAGCAGTTCAGGCAGCAAAGTGAGATCATTGAGAATATCTCTCTTATTAATCTCATGCAAATATCCAAGGTTTTTTCTCATGTGCTCTGGTTGATCTAAAATCTCTATTTCATAGGCAGTGACTTGTGAAGTTCTAGAGGAGAATTGGAAAATCATTGTTGGCCCTATCTTCTACTAGTTGATCAATGATGTACCCTTTACAAACGCTAAGCATAGACCTGTTTACTAGATCCTTAAGTAATCTGCTGTCTCCCCATCTTAATAAGGATAAATTTATAGTTGCTCATGCATTATGCTTCATCTGCATATCAAAACTGTTTGATTGCCAGGGCATAGAAACTAGAAACTAGTAATCATTGACCTTGGTAACGTGTTCATGTTGGATTAGATTGGGTGGCAGTAAGGGTAAGAAACTTATGAAGTAAGGAAGGACATGTCATGTAGAACTTTGAAGGTTAGTTTTCAATCTGCTAGCTCAAGTATACAGGGTGAGAGACAGTTCTTGTTGGCGGTTCATAATATTCTATGAATAAGAAGACAAGTGGCTATAATGTTTCCATTAAGGTGTGATGGGTCTCATTTATAGATTCTGATAACTTAGCATGCATGTTGATGCATCCCTTGGGATCTGTCAGACTTACTGAAAATGTCATTTAACTAAAAAATTTTATGATTACTGACTGGAAGTTTATTATAATTAGGACTAACATCGTAATGCATTTAAAAGTGCAGTTGTTAGCCAGCTCTTTTTTTAGTCACGTTGACTTTGCGCCCCCCCCCCAACAAAAAAAAAAAAAAAAGCGCAAAACTTCTTGCATGCTGAGTGTTCGTGTTCGTTTTTTTTTTTTTCAATGAATGAATCTGTTTGTTAAGGTGTTAATTATAGTATGCTCCCTCTGGTCTGATTTATAGGACAGCTTCTAAAAGCAATTTTGGTCCAAAATATAGAGGAAAGTGGAATGTCAACAAACTTTCTCGCTATATTACCCCTTTGCTCGTTTATATAATTATTCATCAGTGCTCTTGGAAGTTGGAACTCTGCTAATTACTCCTAATGAATAAGGGTATACATGGAAAGAACTAGCACATTTTGAGTTGATAAATTATATGACCAACATTCCTTAAGATGCATGATATAGTTGGGATTGCCCCTGGGGAGAGCATAATTTTGTTTATTTAATTTCTTCATCTTTTTCTCTTAGTTTTATGTATGTTGTATGATTGTCACATCTTTATAATGATGCATATTTTATTTTAACCATTTGGTATTCTCAGGATGAGAAGGATGTAAAGATCCGAGAATTGACTGCTGAGCTACAACGTGAGAGAAAGCGAAGAGCAGTTCTTCAACAACAGCTTGAGATAATTTTGAGAGATGTTGAGGAACATTCCATTAAAGTATCAAAAAGCATTAATGATAGTCTTCAGAGAATGAGAGAGGTTGAAGAGAAAGCGAATAGCACCTCATCCTCCTCGGCAAAGCTAGATGCTACTAAGTAATGCAATTTGATTCATGTTTATACAAATAGGGGTATATTATTGTCATGAAATGTAATACTTTTTCTCTAGCTTGATCTATTGTTTTCAGCTAGTTCTTGTAGAAGCAACAGAAATATCCATATAGTAATTTATTTTGACGAGTCTTTGTAGCAGAATCTCATGTAGCATAGAATCAACGAGATAAGCATGTTTTGACCTCCTCGCAACCAAGAGGATGACCCACCTTATAGTGCTTGTTTGGAAAATCTCTAATTCTCTATAATCAATTTTAGAAGTCAAAATCATAGTTTTATGAAAAATATGTCACAATACTTTTCTTATATATTAAAATCAATTATGAATATAAAATTGCATTTTTTTCTAATATCTAAACAACTATTATGCATTTCCAAATTAATTATGAACTCCAAACTATGATTTTTTTTTTTAAAAAAAATTTCAAACATCCTTATTTACTTGTGGAAATAATTATGAACCCAGAAGTATGATTTATAAAATAGAGTTTATGTGATTTTAAGATAAATTTTTACCAAAGTATGATTGGAAAACTAAATTGAAAAGTAGGCAGTAGAAGTGTATGGGATAATGTAATTTTAAATTTATAATTAATTTTGGATATATAAAAGTGTTTGAATATTTTTAATAAAACCATAGTTTGAGATTTATTATTGGTTTTAGCATGTAAAAATGTTGTTTGAATAATTTTTTTAAGTATAGTTTTAATTTTATAATTGATTTTGGCATATAATAGAGGTGTTTAAATACATTTTTACAAAACTGTGGTCTTACTAGATTTTCAATTATATTGAAAATCAGTCTTATTAATTAATTTTATAAAGCAATTATACTACATAATATAATTCATTATATTTAAAAAGGTTAAATGATAATTTAAACCCTAAACAATAAGTTAGGGGTAGTTTGAATCTTAAATTTGTATTTAATATATTTTAAACCTTGAACGATTAAACTTGAAGTATTCTGATCCCCATTGTTAATTTAGACTAAATCCATTTAGTGGTAAGGCATAGGAACACACGCCCTTTCTCTCTCTACACTCTCCTCTCCTAGCCATGTTTTCCTTACTCCTCTCTCTTTGCAATTCACAGCTTCCCTTGACACTTCCCTCCATTTAGCCACGTTTTTTGTCAAGCTTCTCACCTAGCTTTGATGAATATAAACATAGCGAGAGCAACATGGTAGATGAAGGGAAGTAAATGTATGACATGACATTTAGCCACTTTGCCACCTAAATTGCTTCATTTACAAAGGGTTTGATGACCATGATAGTGAGGTTCTTCATTGACATATTGAGAAAGCTTAAGGCTTCCTGCATGAAAGGGAAGGAGTAAGAGATGCCAAGCTAAACCTGGACTTGAAGTGATGTCGTTTTGGCAGGGAAGTCATGGGAGCTCACGAGAGGAAGGAAGACGTGATTTATGGCTAGAGGAAGGGCACAGATGCCAAAAGTGAAGATTTAATGGTGGGGATGACACAGGTCACATGGAAGTTAGGGTAGTGATAAACGAGATGCTTCACAAACTTGAGAATTGAGATTTGGTGGCTACCTGAAATGAGAACGACTTGTATTTTGGTCTCTATTAGAGTGTAAGCAAGCTATGCCTAGGCTTGGTTCTATCAAAGAAATGTGTTTTTGCTCAAGAAGAAGAAGAAGAAGAAGGGTTTGTTTTATAGTAGACTAATACAAGGATGCTATATGGAGTTAGGGTTTCATCTATGGCATCGAGAGGTGTGGGATTAGTGGAGTAGCAGAAATGGTGGAGAATACAGCAAAGGGAACAAAGGAGGAGGTGGAAACTAGAGAGTACATGTAACATCCTAAAAAATTAACCCCTAATTAACTAAGTTAGATGAGGTTAATTAAGCAAATTAATGTATTATGTGATTATAGAATGTTTTGGGTTGTGGTTTTAGCCTTAGGATTAAGTCCAAGGCCGAGTTAGGAAACTCAAACCTCAAAAAAAGAGAAAAATAAGGAGAAATGGCTTTGTGCCATATGCTGATGTGTGTGCACGGGATGCTTTGGCACATGAGTCACATAAACAGGAGACTTGTTTCTCTATATCACATGTTGTGGCACGTGTGGCATATATTGTGATGCATGGTCAGATTCTAACAGTAGAAAGAGTGAGAATAGATTTGAAAAATAGAAAGGAAATAGAGAGAAAATGAAAAGAACTTGAGAGCTTTGTTAGGGCATAAGGAATTTGAAGGTTTAGGAGTATTTTGAAGCTTATAAATGTAACATCCTAAGTTTTTGACTTAAAACTTTGAGTGTTTAAGAAAGGTAAATTAGTCAAAATAGGTGATTTATAAATTAATGGTGTTTTTGGGACACTAATAAAGTTATTACACCTTTGAACAGCCTTAGAAGTGAGCTAAGACGGTGTATGAATCAACTGGACTTGAATTGGAGGTCAAGTGGCACAAGGCACTTGTTGTTCATGTGCCATGATGCACACACACTACGGTACAATTCACGGCTACTTTTAGGGTTAAAACAGATATGAAATGTGTCTAATTTTAGAGAGGAAAAAAAGAAGGAAAAAAGAGAGAGATGGAGGAGGAGGACTTGCGGTCTATTAAGGCTTCATCTTAGGAGCATTTCAAGAGCATTTTCAACAAGAGTCACCATTGGGTAAACTTCATATTCCTTTCCTTCCTCTTTTATGCAAAAATTTCTGAGTTTTGAGTGTAATGGGATGGATTTTATGTTTTCCTTAGGTTTCAACCGAATCCATTTACTTAATTAAGATCTTGGAGAGTTAAATCAAGTTTCTAAACGTAGGTTTTAGGGTTTTGTAGTGATTTAAAATCTTTAGTTAGGGTTTGGATGAACCTTAAGTGAAATTTGAGAGTTTTGGAATAATGTGAGTAAAGGATAGGTGTTATTAGTATGTTTGGATGTCAAATGGAATAAATGGAGTATGTTGGAGGTACTGATGTTATTAAAATGGGATTTTGGGTACAATATGTACCCAAAATTTAATGATTTAGGGGTTTAATTAGAGTGATAATTAATGATTATCGTTAAATCGTGTAGATTATATAGTGCTCGAGTGTTGTTACACGTGTGGACCTTGTGGAGAACATATTTAGACCACGATAATTAAAGTAATAATTGATGATTATCGTTAAATTGTGTAGATTATATAGTGCTCGAGTGTTGTTACATGTGTGGCTTGTGGTGAACATATTTAGACCACGGTAATCTTTTTTGTGACAAAAGGATTGAGGTAACAGAATAATTTACTCTATTTGATTAAGTACTTAACTGTTTATGAGTAAATGAGTAATTTTGCAAACCTGTGTTTGGAAGTATTGCATGTTGCGAAATGAGGATTTTGTACATAAAAAATGACTTTTAAAAACAATAAATCTATGAATGTTGCACCTCGATATTAAAGGTATGACCGGCATTAAATATGAGATGACATCATATTCCATAAGCTTTGATTAGCCAGGGGTTAAGCTAAAATATCAGTATTTAAGTTACATATAATAATAAATTTCATTAATTTTTAAACATGTTGTAGAAATTTTGGTAGAGTCTCTCCTGTAAATTGGACCCCCCGAAATTTCTATAATATAAAAACCTGTCAACCAATCTAGGAAGTTGCATACTAACAAAATAAAACTAGGACATAATTATGGTGTATGTGGAGCACTAAGTTATAATCATGTAATAATACATATTATCACTAAATGAGATAATTACAATGTGCTTCCTCCTTCCAAGAAGATATAATAGGGCCCCTCAAAGATCTATAGGAGGCGCATGGTCGGCTATAATATCTGAGACCAAAGAAATTTTTGATGAGTAGCGTTCCAATCAAAATTATAATTTTAAAGAATTTATGAAGATAGTAACTGATAATTTTATTTTAAAACAATCAAATGAAAAAACAAAGCATATTCTTAAACTAAATATAAAGAACAAGTTTTCTCAATAATACAATCATGAAATTAAACAATGCTAATACAATAATGTAAATTTACCAAAGTTTGTACTATTCATAGAATATAAAAATTTCAAGTAATGGTATAATTAGATAGAATGTTTTTAGAGAATCAATATAAAAATGGTAAATTTTAATTTAAATTTAGGAAGGCTTTATCAAAACGAATAACAAGTATGGACACACAGTCTACAATAGTAAATAACCAATTAAGTGTGAACACATAATCCATAAGGGTAAATAACTAACAAGTGCAGTTTAAAACTATGAAATAATATTAAGCGTGGCTAGAAGCCACGAATCAAGATCAGGCATAAGGCCCATGAACACAAACATGAGTACAATGCTCAGGAATTATCATCCCTCTGATCTATGTGCATTGGCCTCTACATGGGGCTAGCATCTCTCACAAGCACCCTACTGGCTAGGTGTATCATGGACTAACGTTTTGATCTCAATCCCTCTAATAAAAACCCAATGTGCATCAAGCAAGATAGCAATTTCAAAGTTTCCATCTTCATCCATACTATTCAACCATTAATTCTCAGTGCCCAAATTTATTTTCATACTAAACATGGAATTAAATAATTAAATTGCAATAACATAAATTATTAATAAAATCAAGACATAATCATTATTAAAATAATTATTATAAAAATTGAATTGAAAAAGATATTAAGACAATTTATAAAGGAATAATAATAAAATTCAAATCAAGGAATTTTATAAACATTTTACTAAAAATTTAGTAAGAACGTTACCCACTCACATAAAAGTTTTCAAAAATTCTAAAACTTGACCCCCTAAAATTCTTACTTACTTTAGTGATGCCTCAAATAATTTAACACATAATCCAATAATCCTTATATCATTATGAATTTTCTTTCTTATAATAAACGAGCAAAATATTCAAAATCTTCGATAATCTTTTAAATTTCTCATTAACCCTTTAAACTATAATTAAATGCTCCAATAACTTCTATCAAGTAGTTTAACATTACTAAGTAGCATTTAATTTTAACCATCAATATAGCTTATTCTAGACTTGACAAGAATCTTAATTATCATATAGTGTAATGATTTTCCTTTAAAAGTTACACGATTTCAATAAGTATTTCAACTTTACAACTTGCATGTAAAGACATATACTCCCTCAAGAA